TAGCACTCTACCACTTGAGCCACAGCACCACTTCTGGCTTTTTCTGTGTATGTGGTACTGAGGAATCAAACCCAAGGCTTCATGCATGCTAGGCAAGCACTCTACCATGGAGCCACATTCCCAGCACAACATGTAGTTACTTTTTGTGTGCCAGTAGTGGCTTGAACTCAAGAGTCTTGAGTTCTCACTTGGCTTTTTTGCACAACTACAGAGTTCAGAGTTCATCAACAGTCTTCAGTTGAGGATAGTCAGCCTGGTTTTGACCAAGTGCTGTTTAAATAAACACATACATGAAAACATGTATCCAAAATTAAAACGTTATGTTCCCGTGCACGCATTTCACTCTTGGTCCCTTATTGTCAACGTGTTTAAATCTTGTGAGATGTTTCCCTACCCTTGATTTTGTGAAAAATCTGCTCCCCACAAAGCAAATGGTGCCCCCAAATAAAAGTGAATGTGCTTTGTTGAGGAGCTAGACTTGCCCCAAGGTGTATGCCATTAATGGAAGTCAGACAGTGTTTTGGGAGAACTAATCAAGCATCTACAGGGTGGTACTGAGCTTGGTTCTGAGTATGTGTGGGTTAGCGGATCTCCTTGGATCTACACACCTGCAGACACTAAGGCTCTGCTGTGGATATTCTTCCATGATGAAGCATTAAGTAGCGTTAGCAGATGGTTGAGGCTCACTCTGAGCTCAGACACTCTGACCCCAATGCTGCCAGACTCCTAGGTCTGTGCTCCTTCTGAGAATACCAACTCTGATAGAAGAGACACCACTCTGTGCCAGTCGGCTTTCAGTCACTAGAACAGGAACTCAAAAGGAAAAAAGATCACCAGGTGCTGGTGGGTCACGCCTATAATTAAAGGAGATTCTTGTCTCCAAGTAACCACCTAAAAGGCAGAAGTGGAGCTGTGGCTCAGGTGGTAGAGTGCTACCTTTGAGTGAAAAAGCCAAGCAAGAACATCAGGCCCTGAGTTCAAGTCCCAGTACTAGCATACACACACACCACACAACCATCATCATCATCACCATCATCATCACCATCATCATATCATCATCATCATCTCAGAAGACAGAATCTGATTTATACACTGTTATGGGAGCCTGGGTGGCTCTCCTAAGAGTATTTGAGAGGCAAAACCCCAAGAAGTCATTATTTTGAGTGTTCTAGAGAACTGTCTGCCTAGGTATTGCTGGAACCCAAGTTCTGGCGAGAAGGGGCTGGAGTTTCTCTTGAACTCTTCCCTTTTACAGTAATAGATTAGCCTCCACATTTGTAATTCTTTTTTTGGGTCCGGTCGTGGGGCCTGAACTCTGGGCCTGGGCGCTGTCCCTCAGCTCTTCAGCTCAAGGCTAGCGCTCTACCACTTGAGCCACAGCACCACTTCCGGCTTTTTTCTTTTTGCTTATGTGGTGTTGAGGAATCAAACCCAGGGCCTCAGGCATGCAAGGCAAGCACTCTACCACTGAGCCACCTTCCCAGGTCCCACATTTGTAATTCTTATATGCAGATAATAAATCCATAAATAGAGACTTAATCTGCACAGCTCTGCCTTGTGAGAGCGGAAGATGCCGGCAGAGGACAGCGTCCAGCCTCTATCGGGGCAGGGGAGGGCTGAGGAGCGGAGGCTGCAGCTGGGGGCAGCACTGAGCAGGGCAGGCCTGCCTGGCTCTCTGGCCAGACACACAGTCTGGACAGCAATCCCTGGACCTCAACCCTGCAGGCAGGGAGACCCCGCAGCTCAGATGCTCTCATGGATGAGACCCGACCTTGGCCAAGAAGTGGGAGCCATGGAAAAACACTGCCAAGAGCCCACGAGGAAGATGTGCCGGGTTAGGATCGGGCCGGAGAAGGTATGTAGATACCCTGAGCCAGGGAGGAAGAAAAGGAAGGAAGGGGCTCCAATTCCTGCTGAAGCCCAGAGGAAGCAGATGGCTGGGCCAACGTCATTCCTGATGTTCCCCCCTTCCCTGGACGTGCTTCCTTTCTGCATTGTCTATTAGAAGATACTCAGTTGGACAAAGGGGTGCATGGCTGCTCCCTGTATTACTCGTGCTATACCGTATCTGACAGATTCCATTGCTCTGTTTTCACCTGCGTGCACAGTGCTTGGAGCACATTCATCCTAACACGCGTCCTTCATAGCCATCTTGCTACCTCCAGAGGGAACCCAGGACCCCTGGTTAAACGGGCAGAGGAGCACCGGGTTTTCTCTGGTAGAAGTGCTAAGGCAAGCCCAGAGGAGCCAGACCATGCTGGCAAAGAGGAGCGCTCAGCGGGTGGTGGACAGGACCCTTGGGGGGGGGCACCATCTCTGCATGGCAATGGAAAATCCACATCTAGATGGACCTCCTTGGAGGACCCCGGGTTGGGGACAGGTGTGGAGCTCCTTTGTGGACTTTTAGCCCTACTCTCCCACATCACAGCCTTGCCACCCATCTTTTTGCTCAACCACACCAGCGGTCAGCTCCTGTGTCAGCTAGGCGGTGGGGGGGTGTGTGGGGGAGGGTGTGCTGTGTGTGTGTGTGTGTGTGTGTGTGTGTGTGTAAAGCGGGATCAGGCCATCTTTTGCAGGTATCAGCTGCGGGGCTGCTTTCTAGAGCCACAGGTAACTCATATAATGAACTTGGACAGCTCATGGACTGCCCACCGCTCCACTCCCCTTCTGAAAGAGCAGCACTGCTGCACAGAGGCCAAAGAGAAAAAAGCAGAACTAAACGACAGCTCTGCCGACACTCCCGCCCTTCCAGAAAAGCCTGAATGCACTTCTCCAGGGCAGTCTTTGCCTGAGCGGATGGAGGGAGCCACTCTCTCCTCTCACTGAGGAATCTGGCAAGAACAAAAGATGTCACAAGAACGAGCAGAAGCTCGCCAAGGCCGCGCCATGTCTTTGTAGAACAGGCCGGGCATGAACAGTGGAAGCCTCGCCGGGCACCGCGGCTCATGCCTGTGACCCCAGCTACTCAGGAGGGAAGGCAAGTCTGTGGGACTCTTCTCTCCAACCAAGAAGCAAAACACTGCCAGTGGAGCTGTGGCTCAAGGGGTAGAGCGTCAGCCTTGGGTGGGGAAAGCAAGCAAGAACACAAGGCTCTGCGTTCGAGCCCCAGTACTGGCACACACAAGAAAACCAAACTTGTTCCTTGCACCAGTGCCATTTACACACACAGTCTAGAGTTACTCCACCTTGGCAGGGTCAGCAAAGCTATTTTAATCCCCAAACACCACAGGCACGGTGCCAGGCTCCAGCGGCTTTTTGTCCGCCCCACGGAGGACATGAGGAGCACCCTGCGGTGTGCACAGCCATGGGCACACGTGCACAAGCACTCTGGTCCCAATGCCACGCTGCGGCCCGCTTGGCCCGGGCCCGCCCCCCCTGGCCTGCTCTGACAACGCCTCCACGCCCCTCCACACGCACCCTGCCCTGGAAGGAGCCAGATGTTCCGTGGGCAGCAGGCTGGCAGGCGGTGATTACTGTTGCCAGCCACATATTAAAGAGGGCTGAATGGGAAGAAGCCCCACCCGCCCCAGACTCCCCACAATAGCGCCTTTGTGAGGTGCTTCCCCCCAACCCCTCCCCCCCCCAGCCTGCCTCAGGAGCAGCCCTGCCTGAGAAGAAAGAAGACAAAAGGTGGATCACAGACCTGCCACAGCCACCCATCTGTGTGTGGAAAGAAGCCCACACCTCCGTACGCCCCCAAATAACTGCAAAGCGCCCTGCTGCCTGAGGTAAAGCACCCTAGAGCAGGGTTTTAGTCCAGGGGCTCATTCTGATCCCCCAGACAAAGCTCAGGGATGAGGCTTGGTTTACAGACTGGGGCAAAGACCAGCAGCGTCCAAAGCCAGAGCCTCCTCCGGGCCTCCCAGCCTCCCCTGCTGGCCAGGCCTGGGCTCAGAGGCCTAGAATGGAAATGTTAAGTTGCTAGGACTTCAGGGTGAATGAACTTCAGCCAGTTTCCACGCTGGTGGAATACATGAGTGAAGAGAAGGAAAAGTGGGGATGTACTGGACATCTGGGCTGGTCACTGCCCCCTTCGAGGCCCACACCGCAGACGCTGTGACAGCAAGAAAATCAGAGCCCCACAGACCCGAGATTGCACAACCTGCCCAGGGTGGAGGCAGGCTGGAGGTGAGCGCCAGGATTTGGGCTGGGAACAACCCACATCCAAGGTGACACTTGAAAGTTCTCACTAAGAACATGTGTAAGCTCGACTCCAGTTCCAACAGCAAAGCCAGGCTGCAAAGCCAGCACGTTCCATTTTTCCCGGTTCAACCCGTGATGAGAATTGGCAGCCTGCTCTGGGTCCACATCTTGCAGCCAGAGCTCCGTGCCGTTGGAGGTACTAGGGGACGGGGTGTGGAGGCCCCGGCTGCTGTCTGCCGTCTCCCGGGAAGTCTGTGACTAGAGAGGTCCGGCTCTCTATGGAGAGGGCCAAGGCCCTCATACAGAAGAGGAGGAGGAGAACTGATCCAAGGGCAATACATAGGAGGAGGAGAGGTGGGGTTTCCCTTTAATGCAAAATGTTGCCACCCACAAGTGATGTGGAGAAAGCCACAATCTTCAAACAGTGGCGGGATTGGAGAGGGTCAGTTACCTGCAGGTCCTGCCCTGTCCTGTGAGAATACTGCTGCTTATTGCCTGGGGTCATCCTCATTGGAGGCTCAGAACTCTGGGCCTGAGCTATTCTAGGGCTAAATGAGCTGTCACGGGGCAGGAGTGAAGCTTCAGGGGTCACTGATTTAGCTCTAAAAGAATGGATGCCTCGAGATCTGGAGTTCCACACGAAACCAAAATCCAGTGGCCACCCGGCGTCATGGCTCACGCCTGTCATCCTAGCCACTCAAGAGGCTGAGATCTGAGTATCTCATATTGAAGCCAGCCCAGGCAGAAAATGTCAGAAAATTAACCAGCAAAAGGCCAGAAGAGGAGCTTTGACTCAAGATGTAGAGCACCAGCCAAGGCCCAGTACTAACACTAAAAATAAAAACAAAACATTCAGGTGCAATTGGTTTGTTTTTAAAAGTAGGCGACTGGAGTCACAATTTGGCTATATTTGATGAATGAGCAGCAGGAAATCTAGCAGGAATGAAAATGTATGGGGATAAGAGTCAAAGAAACATGGCTAGACCTCCTCCTCTTTCTTCCTCATCTCCAACTTATAGACAATCTGGTAGCCATCATCCCAGGCATAGAGCTGGCGCTCGCGAGGGTTATAGCGGAGGCTGGTGTGGGCACCGTACCGACGGGGAAAGTAGGAGAGCGCTGCCTGCTCGGGGGTCAGGGTGCCGCTGGCATCAAATGTGCACTGGATGCGGGCCCGGCTGGCAGGGCGGGTGTTATAGACGACGTACAAGGTCCCACAGATGACAAAGGCCGCCTCGGCGTTCTCCCTGGGACACGGGGTGTCCCACTGCTGCTCTGTGTCCAGGGTCTGGGGGTCTAACTTGGCTAGACACAAGTGCCTGGCATCATCCCGGGTGGCATAGACGGCCCACAGGCCCTCCTCATCGGCCGCCAGGTCAATGTAGGTGTCCTCGGAGAGTGCGTACGGGGGGAGCAACTCCTCCGCGGGGAAGACCGAGCTGTCCACCACGGTTCGGTTTGCCAAGTGGAACTTGATGAGCTGTAACGTGTTCTCCAGCTCACCCGTGGCTTTTGGCCCTCCGGGAGGCCTCCGGGCATAGTAAAGGAACCCACCATATACCAGCTGCCCTGAGCCCACCCAGGGGAAGGGCACTCGGATTCGGGAAGCCTTCCGGGCCGCCATGGCAAGCGTGAAGTCCCGGAGCCTGGGGAAGACCAGGGCTGTGTCGTTCTGGGTCCCGTCGAACACGTAGATCTTCTCCGCAGGCCCCAGGGGGTCCTTGGTCCACATGCCCGCAGGGCCTCCGAACCTTTTCAGGATCTTCATCGACCTCACCTGGGCTACTGTGTAGTCACAGTCTGGTGCAGGAGAAAAGCAAGGGAGGGCAGGTAAGAGTCAGAGGCCTACGGCGGGACTCCTGAGGACCGGCTACCTGAAAGAAGGTGGGCACTACCTGTGGACGCCTCTGTTCTTGTGGCTGAGAGGGGACATCAGCGAGGCCAGGGCCCGAGGAACTCCCATCCTCCCTCCCCCCCAGAGTGCCAGGGAGAAAAGCCAGGGCCTCACACAAACCAAGCATTCAACCACTAAGCTACACCTGCAGCCCCAGGGACCTTCCTTCCCGGACAGAGATCTTCCTCAAATGGGTTCTGGAAGATAGAGCTACACTGGCCTAAGACAAAGAGAAGAAACTTAGGACTCCAAAAAAGAAAGCTGCAGATTGAGTGCATCACTGACCAGTTATTCTGTCGTATTTCTCATTTCGCCTGCTCTTGCCTTTGGCCCCGGGGCCTTCGGTCTCCTTCTCCTGGAGGTCCACACAAGGGGGAGCTGAGTTCTGGACCTCCAGATAGTCCACCTCGCGCTCCAGGCGGTCCACTCTCCCTGCGATGGTGTCCGCCTCCGTTCTCAGAGCCTCCCGCTCCTTTTCTGCCACCTCCAACAGCGGCAGCATCTTGTTCTTGAAGTCCCGCAACTCAGCAGCATGCCTACTGCTCTGGTCCTGGCACTGGGCCAGGCGCTCCTGGAAACGGGGAGTGGGTCGGGAGGGAAGAGGGGAGATCAGAAGGGAAGCAGGCTGCCGAGCTGTGGAGCTGCAACCACCAGCTGCGGGCCAGGGGGAAGAGGAGCAACAGACTTGGCCAAGCCCGGACACCCCACAGTAGCCAAGTGTCCAGACGTGCTAAGTGGACAGCAGCAGGCTCAGCGTCCTTCAGACTGCGCATCCCCTCGGGGCCTGGGGCCGGGGCACAAAGAGCCCTCCTCCATTACAGAATTGTCCTCTTGGAAATGACAATGCTAAGTACTTCAGACTGTTAAAGCGTGCACAGCCACACGCTCACTGCAGCTTCTCTGAGAAACCCCAACGCCAGCGGAACAGTCAGCTGCGCCTGGAGAGCCGCCCTCGGCCGGCGCCTCCTCTTCCACCCCTCAAGGCCCCGGGACCCCTTGCCCTGGAACTGCTTTGGGGAGCGGGGGAGGGAAGCGGAATTATCAGGGATCCTCAGAGCCCTGACCCTGTGTGGCACCGGAGGGAAGCCCCTCACCTCCAAGGTGGCAAGCCGGCGCTCCATGTACTCCACAAGGTGGTGCTGCTGCCCTCGGAGGGGCTCAGACCATGCCAGGAGGAACAGGAGGAGGACTGAAGAGCAGGGCCCCATGGCGGCGGGGACGTGGGGCCGGAGGAGTGGTGTGGGCCTCTCCCTTCAGGCCTGCGCTGCTGCGCCGGGCGGTGTTGCAGGCGGGGCTGGGCGGGGCGGGCCTTCCTTTCTGATCTCTGGGTCTCTCACTCCTCTGGAATGCCTTCAGTCTCTCTACCCCCCACCCCTCTTCCCGCCTGGTCTGATCAAACACAGATGGCCCCCAAGCACTGGAGCCAAAGCCTTAACCATCTCCAACCCGGGCCTCCTAGGAGGGCACTGCAGCACGTAAGGCAGAGGCTGGGCAGCCAGCCACGCAGGAAAGGGACCTGGCCTGAGGAGCAGGAGCGGGCTCCGAGCTGGCACCTCTCATCACGCCTCCTGTCCCAGAAACAACACAAAACACATTTCCTGCCTTGAAGCAGGGTGGGGGGTGGGGTGGGGGCAAAGGGAAATAGACTGATAGCTCACGTGCGCCATCTTGTGCCAACCACCTGGTGCTACCTCCTGATTAAACCAAGGTTTAAACTTTACCCCAAAGGCAGTTTCCACAAAGCATTCAGCCAAATGGATTGAACTCACTGGGGTTTGTTTAGCAACTAAAATTAGATTTCCTATAGACTTCCCAATTTCTTTAAGAACCTATGTTGATCTCTCTGACTTAGACTAAGGAGACTACAACAGATTAAAAAAAAAAAAAAGCTAGGCTCACACCTGTCATCCTAACTACACAGGAGGCTAAGGTCTGAGAACCATGATTCAAAGGGGTAGGGAAGTCTGAGTCTCTTATCTCCAATTAACCACCCCAAACTCGAAGTGGCACTGTGGCTCAAGTGGTAGACCATTAGCTTTGAGCAAGAGAGCTCAGGGACAGTACCCAGACCCTAGTTCAAGCCCCACAACCCACACACACACACACACACACACACACATACACACACACACATACACCCTGATGATGGGCAGACAAGGCTGACAGTAGTTCTCCAGATAGTCTTGTACCGAAATTACAAACCTCCATGGTCAGCACCAATGTATAGTCACTGATTTCAGGGGCATTCTGTAATCTAAATCAAGTCTATTCCAACCTTCCTATTACTGAGAGAAAGCAGCCTGCTGATCATCTCTCCCCATTAAGAGTTCAAAAGGGTGTTTGCAGGCATGGGTCATGTCAGTACTCCATGTAGGGCTGCAGCAGCCCAAAATGGTTTGGCGCTGTTCATACAGTGAACTTGGCCTGAAGCACGTGTCAAAAGACATCAAAACTAAGGGGTTTAGAGATCTGTAGTGACTACCATAGGCAAATCCCTTCTCCTTATCAAGAGAGATTGTGTTCACTTCAGAACCAGGAGAAATCTGGCGGGGCAGGGGGGTGGGGGGTGTCTTCTCCACAAAAGGAGGCCTTAACAGTGTTGTCGTCTTCCAGGGTAACTCTTGCTTGCATTTGGCTATTTTAGATGCTTGCTGCAACAGGGCAGGAAACAGTTTGGTTATCTTACCTCTTTAGTTTCTATTTCTTTCAAAGGGTCAAATCAGATGATCGTTCAGCAAGGGCCCAGGACACTCCATTTTACAGCAAGTATTTCCTACCTAATATTCATTTCCCTTAAGGGCATCTGTGTAATCTATAATGCCCTGCTGATGTTCAAATGCAATGTGTTTAGCCACTCCAAAGGTGTCATCTGTTTATCTTTGTACCGCAGAAGTAAAAACAATCACATGAATCAGAAAATTTACCCATTTTATTGATGCATTGCAATTGCTCTACATTTTACCATATTATGTAGAAAATACTGAAAATACAAGCTACTTTGTAAAACCAAAGACAAACATTGAATCCAAAGATAAAGTATGTTTTACACAATGGACCCTTTTCCCCGTAGTTAGTAATAAATTTTAAATATCTATTTCTTTAGTTAAAATGATTATTTTACATACTCCCTAAGTACATCTGTATTACGAACACAGCTCAGTCATTCTCAGAAACAATCTGTTTCTAGAGGCTTGTTGTAAAAGGAAGTGCACACCAGAAAAGGGAGAAAGCAAAAGTTTAAATCACACACAATAACTAGCATATCAAATACATTTAATAAAGTAGGAATTCCATTGCAATACCAAGGATTCAAAGCAGAAATACTAACGTTACATATAATGTACATATAATGTACTGCTACATGGAGTGAGATTATTTTTCAAGCTGAATTGAAACCACACATTATATAAAGTTTAGCAACAAACAACCATGTACACACATGCTGCGCCATCAATCAATTAAAAAAAAATCAAAATAGGAAGCAGGCTTGGGCCACTCCTATAACTGGGGGGCAAACTCATTTCCTAGCATAAAACAAACCACCTCAACGGTGGATTTCTGCCTAATAATGCGAAGTAACACACACTGCTGAACTGCTTGCCTGGCTCAGGGCAGCCAAGCTTGGCCTCTCTGGTGGTGAATGATGGGTGAGCAATCACAGAAGCAGGCTCAGGATGGCCAGAATGGGTTGACGTGGAGTTCTTATTCCTGGGGCTGGCATTTCAGCTCAACCCAGACAGCAGCAGAACTTCCTGGGAGCTATTAAACACTCTGGAGCAATCTAGTGTCCCTAAGAGCCTGGATAGCTCTACTAAACCCTTTCACACATCCCCTCACTGAAAAGTACAAGTTCAGGGAGGGCTGGACACCGTCATCTGCTTTGAGACCAGCCATGCGGAAGCAGGCCGGCTGCTCACTCCATTCACAGGCCCCAAAAGCCAGAGATGTTCATCTAAGCTCCAAAGCTGTGTAGAGTGCACACACATGTAGCAGACACCTGAGATGTCACCAAGCAGAGCATGAGACGCTCTCACGCTGCTAGTCACATGACCCCACAGTGATCCAAGCTCCGCTGTTCCCTATCTTAAATGATGTCTGCCTATTGGACGAGGGCCCGAAGTGGGGATTTGTTTGTTCCCTACATCTCACTTCTTACAAAAACAACAAATCCTGTCCCTTGATGAGGAAAGATAAAGGAACAACAACAAAATGTTGGAAACTAGAAACTAGACTCCATTTAAACAAGATAATTAGAATGTACTCTGCCAAAAAAAAGTGGGGTGGGCAGGGAGGAGACACAAAGATGATACACACTGACCAGAAAACTGAATGACACCAGTAGCAAACTACACAAACTGTTTGGCAATCCTGACCAAACAGAGTGCTGAACACATAATTAACTTTTTAAAATTTACAGAAAATGCAACGTGCTCCTGGCAGACTACGCAGGCTATCTGCCCCACCAGGAAGCCCTTACTCCCCACAGCAAAGAAACTCTTAATACACCGACTGCTCGTCGGTGTTCAGCCTGGTAGTGTGTGTCAACCAGGCTCCATGAAATCTCCCGTCAGCATCCTGCACCTTCTATCACCATCTCTGCACAGAGCCAGTCCTGGAATTACCCCTCAAGTCTTGTCTTCAGCTCAGATGGAACACACCTGTGTCTCAGGGCTCATCTTCCTCCTCCAAATCGACCCCCTCTGTCCTTTCTGCTTCACCCACATCAATGGTGGGGTTATCGCTGGGACAAGTCCCAGTTGGAAGGGCCCCAGGAATATACAAGTTGTCACAAAGAAACCTCAAAAGCCTCAGTGATTCGACAGGCTTTAGCTCCTTCTTCATGTTCTTCACTGATGAAGAAACACCCCTGTGAGTCTCTTGCCACCAGCAGCGCCACAAAACTCCTCCTCACAGTATGGGACACAGTAAGCAATACAACAGGCTCTTTGGTATAAACACATCTGTTACATGTTTTTTTCTCAACAAGCAAATATTTGACTAGCAATGTGAACTACTAGCAGAAAGAACTACTACACAGGAAAAGGAAAAGAAGATCTCATTCCAAGTGATTGCACATACTTTAAAAGATGCATATTCAATATTGGCTTGACTTCTCTCACCTGCTTCCTGAATTCTCACAGAAGCAAGGTAGCAATGCAGTGAGAGCCACCTGGGAAATGTTTCTGTGAGAACACAGCTGAGAGTCCAAGTTGGAAGGGGGCAGAGTGGCGGTACACAAGAAAAGCTGCTGTTTTTATTTCCCTATGTCAGCAGGAAAACGGAGAACAATGCTTTACACAACAGCTACTAGTCCTGTTCTGATAAATCCCAGGGAACAGCTCAACAGCTTAGGGTCCACGGGGGCTTGCTGGTCCATCCTAAGGCAAGCTCACTGTAAACGCTATTAACCACTACATTATCATATAAGGCACTACAATATGGGGAGGAGAAAAGGAAGGGAAAGACGCATACTGAACAACTCCTCACCAGACACACCTGTGCAAAACAACGCCAAGGGTCTCCTCTGCTTGCAGGCCAGGCCCCTGCTCATCCAGCACGACAGTAATACGCTCTATGTAACTTGCAATTAGTTCACATACATTCCAACAAGTGTCAGTTCATTTTGGTTTAAATACAATGGAGACATTAATTCCATCTTCGGGGTAACACTGGAGGATCAGATACATACTAAATACACAATTCAAGTGTAATCACTACACATTTGATTACGAATAACATTTTGGGTTAGCAGGAAAAATTGTTATATTTTTCTAATCAATATGTACACATTTAATTATGCAAAATATTAAAACACCACCATTACAAAACTTCTAAAATATTTTTAAATTCAGTAATAAACTTTTAAAATATTTTTTCCAATTCCTACATGCACTTATTATAGAAGTCTTAATAAGAGAGCATTCAGTTTGCTGCTGGCATACGAAGGAAGCTACTTTGAAGTATAAAAGCTATACATGACATTTGCATCTGATTTCAAACTCTTTAGCTTTCTCCCCCAAATAAGTCACATAAAACAGGAGAGAGAGAGAGAGAGAGAAAGAGAGAAAGAGAGAGAGAGAGAAAGCAGAGATGTGTTATTGAGAATTCATATCATCTTTCGGCAGGGCTCACCGAGGGCAACCATCTGAAGACAAGGCTCGCCAAGACCAAATGTCTCATAATAAAGAGATCTTGCATGAAGTAAAACAACTGCCACCTTATGCCAAAAAACACCTGAATGGCTTTGTTACTAATAAAACTTTAGTTGAATCAGAGGAGTTTTAAAAATAAGTTTAACAAGAATTCATGGTGTTTCATTTAAAGACAATACTTGGTGCCCGCATGTTCAGGCACAGGTTCTCTCACACTGAGTTATCAGCAAATGGAGAACTACCTTTCCAACACCACTTTGCAATGAACACAAGAGCAACTGAGAAAATCTCCACACTCAACGAGTTTTACCAAACATGAAAACAAGTGTCCGTTAAGTATAATGCAACATGGAAACAGAATTAAAACATTTTAAGTTTAAAAGCTCCATAAACTAATGCTCAAGGAAAAATGCCTGATGATATAATATAGATTTGCATAAGCTGTTTTTAAAATAAAAAAGGGCAAATAAACCTTGGGTTTTTAAACAAACAAGAAGTAATGCCAGATCAGCATATTTCCTCTTATCAGCTATCATAATAAAACAAAGTTAAGTAAGAGAGGCCTCACTGTTTTTAAAAGCATTTATAGACGTCAGGTCAGAGAGAGCAAACATTTTTCAAAGGATAATTTTGGAGTGATCTCTCTTCCTTGGTAACTTCAGAAGATGAGCTTCTGAGTTCTTCCAAATACCAAAGTGCTGTCACAAAAGAAAAATTAAAAAACGGGGCAGACTTTGGGAGACTACAACAACGCAGTCAACACTGAGACAGGTTCCCAGAGAAAAGCCTTCTGTGTCACGGCTCTGCAGAATGAGCTGCTAGCTGCAGAACTACGAGAAGGGCAGGGGGCTCACCACGCCAGCTCTCCGAGCTCAGGGCCAGGCACGGGCGGTGAGCCCTCCTCCCTCACGCACACCCAACTACAAATAGGAAAACTGGCTGATCTTGGTGGGACTCAGAGGGTACCCAGCAAAAACGGTCGAGCCTCGGGAGGACCCGATGTAAGACCGAGTGGCAAACTGGTGTTGGTATTGAGTGGGGGCCACACTGGCTGATGCGAGGAGGCTGGGCCCGACGCTGACGGGGACCTGGTGCACCAGGGCACTGGCGTGGGCGCCGTAGGCCGCAGCAGGCCGCGAGGAGCTCTGCGGGGAGAAAAGGTGAGCAATGGAGCCAGGGGTGCCCAGTGTGGCAGCAGAGGTGGGGGCGGCATACGTGTAGAGGTGAGGCTGGCTTGGCAGGGGAGCAGGAGCGGGGGCCAGATGTGGGTGCCCCGTCGAGTGCAGTGGGCTGCCATGCTGGAAGGCGTAGGGGGCGTGGGAGAGCGGGGCCACAAATGCCTGCTGCCTGTGAGGGGCGGGATGGCCACTTCTCTCCTGCGAGGACGGAGCTGAGGATGACTGCTGGTTCTGGAAGGAGGAAGAAGGGAAGGAGGAATCTTGAGGTCACTCTGGTTCAGGGCACCAAAGGGAAAGCGTTGGCTCTGACAGTTTCTGGACTGCATAGGATCTCCCAGACTGGCAACGAATGCTGCCGGACGTAGCCACCCGTCCTTCTGATCTTGGAGAATAGTCCTTGACCCACCTCAGACAGAAGTGTGACAGAAGAAGAGTTCATACGCAGATGGGCTTCATACACAGACAGGGGTCATACATGGACAGAGTTCATACCTGGACAGGGTTCATGCGTGAACAGCGTTGCCTGCTCCTGCAACTCACCCTATCCTGGAGCCAGTGCGTTTTGCTTTTCCCTAACCGCTCTTTCTTGCCATTGCTTTCTTTTTGCTCTCCTCTAACTTCTGGAAATGCAGAGTTCAAAACACACGCACTGACGGGAGCTTTCACTTAGCTCATCTATGTCTCCCAGCTTCCCTCATACAGAGCAGAGTACACGCCATGGGATGCCGTGACCCTGCTCCATAGTAAAGCTACGCTGGCAGACACAGGGCAAGTCCCGGGCTCTGGCAACGGGCAGGATTAGGACCAGTTGAGTGGCCAAAATGCTTTTCCTGTCTCGAAATAATGTGTGAGGCTCATGTTATTTGCGGTCTGGAGATAAAGGAAGACTATCTGTTCTTGAAGTAAGTGATGTACAGAACCAGGTAGGGCTCAAGCATCCTAGTCCCTAAATAATAAACATTTTTATCTGGGCTGCCCAAGGGAGGTCTAGTGGAAAAACTGGAATGTACCACACACACACACACGCACACGCACACACGCAGATAAGATGCGGGCCATGAAATACCACACGGCTGGACACAGAGAGCATCATTTGGCTTTATTCAGCAGCGTGGCCAGGAGCTGGGTCCTCCAGAGAGTGTTAACAGGGGAGAATGCAAACAGAAGGCAGCGGCCCCTGGCGCTTACCTGGCTAAGGTTGAGTGGCTGTGCTGCGCCAGTCCCCCCACGCTGCGCTCGGTGGCCTGTGGGGGTGACACAGCATCCAGACGACTGCCCGCTCACGGAGGCCACCGGCTTGGTCTTACCACTCAGGAGACCTGTAAAGGGTCAGGGCTTCGTATTACCCATCTAACCTCAGATGGCATCAAATTACCCAACATCTGCAGACAGCCTGGAAGTTACAAGCTTGAATATGTCTTACTTCTTCCAACACATATCAGAAGAGGAGAGCTGTATCATCCACTGCTGTGCTATGACAGGCTCCTTACAAGCTACTTGGGTAAATATGATCTAATTTCCTGTGATATAAAAGGAACCACTGGAAATAAAACCTGAGCAAGATACAATCCTATTCCCAAGGTGCTCTAGTTTTATGTAGGATGGTATTAAACAAGTCAGAAATGACAATGTGGTGGGCTGGGAAGGTGGCTTAGTGGTAGAATGCTTGCCTTGCATAAGTGAGGCCCTGGGTTCAATTCCTCAGCACCACATAAGCAAAAAGAAAAAAAGCCGGAAGTGGCGCTGTGGCTCAATGGTAGAACGCTAGCCTTGAGCTGAAGAGCTGAGGGACAGCGCCCAGACTCAGAGTTCAGGCCCCATGATTGGACCAAAAAAAAAAAAAAAAAGAAATGATAATGTGGAGCTGAGAAAGCCATTGGTAATTCTTAGGATATTTAAATGTCACAAAGGGTTTAAAGGCAGGCAAGATTCTATTGGTACTTACCGCCTTCAAATTTAAGAAATTACAGGACAGTTGAACACAACATTTTGCTTCCATGTTCCCAGTAGAAAAATTAAAGCACATTTACACAGTGGCTTGTGAGCTAGCCTATAATTCTTTATGCCCAAGAATGGACAGAAGACCTAATAATTATATTCACAAGCCTGGCATCAAGATGTTCTACCTTGCCTTCAATGGGATTGTCAACTATTTCTGAGGTGAACCACACTGAGCCTTCACATAATACCCCTATAATTTAGAGCTCCATTTTCCCCATGGCAGTGACATCATGACTAGAACATGAGAGCTCTACTGCTACCAAAACCACCCCTCCCTCCTGGGAGTAAAGCTGCCACTTGGAAAAAAGGATGCATTTCCCAAGCACTTTTGTAGCTTTTAAGTTCTATCTTCTTCTTGATTGCCAACTTCAAGTCACCTGTGTAAGTCTAATTGCCTGCTAACTCTTGATCCCATATAACAAAGCACTGAATGTGTTTCAGACATTATGCTGACATCAAACACAGTCTCACTTTTATGTCTAAGCAAAATAAATGTAGGAAGAAAAACTGATGCCTGTTCCTCAGGGAACAGGATTCTGGATGTATTCCTGAGGGACGTTTATGTTTCCGGTCCCAATCCCTGCCTAAGTACAATGAAAATATGAAGCAGGCATGCAGCAAAGGGATTTTCCCTCTAGCTGTGTGGACAGCACTTACCTGAGGCCTGGGTTGCTACAGTGCAGTCACCAGGCTGAGTTTTCAGTGGAGGCACAATAATGGTACGGGCGCCAGTGCCATCTGCCACAACTCTGCCGGGCCCTTCCAGAAGTGGTCCACTATTGCCCTGGAGAGTGCTCAGGGGGTCAGTGGAGTACGGGCTGCTCAAAGATGAGTCAGAGTCTGGAGAGTCATTGACAGTAACATAACTGATGACATTAGACCTCGGCTTCAGGCCAGAGCTGAGGAGAGGAAAATGCATGAGAATTGAACTGCCCCATTTAGGTTTTGCAGAGACCTTCCCATGATCTCTGCCAGGGATGATGATAATACAAGCAGGGGTAAATTAGGTATCTATCAAGTATACAGGTGCTATTCTTACACGTCTATACATCTTGCCACCGTCCTGTGATGCAGGACTGAAGGCCCCAGTGCAGATGAGCACACTGAGGCAGGGGGATGTGTGCTGCCACACCTGGCCTTACCACTCATTTGTTGATAAAAGGCTCCTTCACTGCCTCTCACCTTATTCCTTTTAGCTCCTTACTTTTTAATAGGGCTGGCTTCTGTGAAAGTAACAAGGCCCAGTGTGTGCTTCTACTGAGCCATATTCCTGTAGTGAAGAACTGATTTTTCTTTCTCCCAAATCAGTTTAACTCAATGACCACTTTTTCCAAAACTTAGTTTCAAGTTCACCATGCTACACATCACCCTTTTGAACTAAAAGACTCTAATCTAAATGTACTCTAAATGTACATCTGACTTTAGTCATATGTAAGGTTTATTTTGCCATTTCCTAAGTTTATTTACTTTATTTTTTAATGGGGCCTGAATGCAGGTATACCATCCTTGAGCTTATTTGCTCAAGGCTGTTACTCTACCACTTGAACCACAAGTCTACTTCTAGCTTTATGGTAGTTAAGTCTCAGGGACTTGTCTGCTCAGGTTGGCTTTGACTGCAATCCTTAGATCTCATCCTCCTGAGTAGCTAGGACTACAGGCATGAGCCACTGGTGCCTGGCTCCAAGTTTACTTTCATGTGTGAATCCTATCTTCTCAGGTAAAAGGTTAAGTTAGGCTATGGCTAAACTTCAAAAGCCTCATGGAAAATATATTCAGTCAAGGAAACTGACTGGGCTCATACTGAGAGAGAAGTGAGGATCCCAGTCCTTATGTTTTCCCGTACCCTCTTGTAAACTGCCTAGCTGTGAACCTGCATTAAAGAGCAAGAAGCAAGATGAAATGACATGGTGCTCAAAGTCTTCTACTTTCAGGGCTGGGAAAGTGGCTTAGTGGTAGAGTGCTTGCCTAGCATGTGTGAAGCCCTGGGGTTCTATTCCTCAGTACCACATAAACAGGAAAAGCCAAAGTGGCGCTGTGACTCAAGCAGTAGAGTGCTAGCCTTGAGCAAATGAAGCTCACAAAAGAAGGCCATTGTACTTAGTTCCACTTCTACCACAGAGGCCTTTTCAGATTAAGGAAAGTCTCAAATAATCCCTTACCCACCTACTCAATCCAATTAACTGTTGTTCCAATGCTTCTGTTATGGTATCTATTTTTGGACTATAAAGCTCCTTAAAAGCAAGGACCATGGCTGCAGCACAATGTGAATTTCAAGGCAGAGTAATCCATCAACTTCATATAACTCCTCTCTCTAAGGTAATGATGAGTGTAAAACACTATAGAACACGTGACAAGTCTCAGCTACAGGAACTTAAGTATTTTGGACTGACTTATTCAAGATCATGCTTCCAAAATATGTGTGTGTGTGTGTGTGTGTGTGTGTGTCTAAAATGGGGCTTGAATTTAGGGCCTGTGCTCTTGCTGGGCTTCTTTTGCTCAAGACTGGCACTCTACCACTTGAATCAAACCTCCACTTCGAGTGTTTTGCTGGTTAATTGGACATATGAATCTCACAGATTTTATCTGCCCAATCCGGCTTCAAATCTTGATCCTCACATCTTAGCTTCCTGAGGAGCTAGCAGATATGATTCATCAACACCTGGCCAAAATACCTCTTTTTGTCCTTGTAAAAAGAGACACAGACAACAGACAGAGATGCTTGTTCACCTGCCTTACCTGCTGGGCTTATACTTGCCGTCCTCTTCTTCGTCAGTGTCACTGCGTATAGTGATAACACTCACAGGGGGGCTGGGAGTGTCTGGAATGACGATTGGCTGATGCTGATCTTGGACGGGGATGAGGGAATGGTAAGATGCAGTGCGAAGAGGACTGCCCCCAACCAAGGAACAGACTTGGGAAGGCAGAACATCCACAGCAGGTCTGTGGAAAAGTTTACAAGTCAACACCATTCAATCTTAGGCCCTCAAATTGCACATCTTTTCCCTAGATTGTCCCCTAATTTGCTGATTCTTTTCTACATAATCATTAAGCTAACACACAACTGTAAAGGTTCTGATAATAAATAAACTACTCACATGATAGTTTCCAGGGATAAAAAGAAAAAAGGAAATTTTATTTTTGTGGACATTTTACCCAAGGTTTGAAATTCACTCTATTAGGTAGGCAGGGAAAAAAAAATCATAAAGGTGGCCTGGATTCAAAATGGCACCAAGAGAAAGGCTACATCCAGTGTGCATGAGAGAGGGGTTATAACCAGTACACATTTGGGATGGACATTCACGAGCTGTTGCTCAACTCAGCAGGTGCTTTGCAGATTCAGCCCAAAAGTATCTACATCACAACAGTCCAAATGCTGGACAGCAGATCTCTGCAACTGGCACAGTTTTTGTTTTCTTAGAGTGCTGGGGATTGAACCCAGGGCTTTTGTATATGCTAGGTGAGCCCTCTACTGCTGAGCTATGCATCCCGTCTTGGAATCTGGCATAGTTTTAACCATCTGCTCTACCACAGACTTACTTGGAGGAGATTGGAGCAGATGGTTTATTTTTCTTGGAAGGGAGGGAACTGGACTGTTGCCTGACAACATGGGCAACCCCGACATTCAGAGGCTGGGCCGTCGCCAGGGCCACATGGTTAGTAAGCAAGGATGGCTGCTGCATGATGGTGCTGTACTGGTTACCATGAGAGTGGGCATTCCTATACCAAGGGAGAGAAACAGACAAGCATGAGTCCCAGAGCCATTGAGAAGCAGACTGCAACAGGAGTTTAAGAAATACTAGGACAACCAAATGTTCTAGTCAGGTGTTAAAAGTGATTAGGAAAACTGAATACAAGCCAGGTACCGGTGGCTCATGCCTATAATCCTAGCTACTCAGGAGGCTGAGATCTGAGGATCATGGTTCAAAGCCAGCCCAGGCAGGAAAGTCTGTGAATCTCTTTTTTTGGGGGGGGTCCGGTCCTGGGTCTGAACTCTGGGCCTGGGCGCTGCCCCTCGGCTCTTCAGCTCAAGGCTAGCGCTCTACCACTTGAGCCACAGCGCCACTTCCCAGGGCCTCATGCATGCAAGGCAAGCACTCTACCACTGAGCCACCGTCCCAGCCCCTCCGTGAAACTCTTATCTCCAATAAACCACCCGAAAACCAGAAGCGGCGTTGTGGCTCAAGTGGTAGAGTGCTAGCATTGAGTTGAAGAAGAGCTGAGGGACAGCGCTCAGGCCCAAAGTTCAAGCCCCACCACCACCAAAAAAAAAAAAAACAGCTGAATACAGCAGCAGCATGGATTTTGTAAGGCTTCAGGATTTTACTCTGTCCTCTCTAATCACTTAAGGCTTTCTTTAAACACAGAGTAAATGATTCCTGACATCTATAACCTATTTTCCTACACTTAAAAGTTTCATTTCTTTTTCCTTTGATGTTGATATGGATGCTTGAACTCAGGCCCTCCTGCTCTTGCTTGGTTTTTCTGCTTAAGGCTGATGCTCTACTACTAGAGTCACACCCCTACTTCTGGTATTCTGCTGGCTAGTTGGAGCTAAGAGTCTCATGAACTTGTCTGCCTGGCTGGCTTTGAACCTAAATCCTCTGATCTTAGCCTCTTGTGTAGCTGACACTATAGGCATGAGCTACCAGCCCCTGGCTTAAAGTTTCTTATGATTCCATCTCCTAGCCAGATACAAGTTCATTGTTTTTTTTATTTTTATTTATTTATTTATTTTAAGAATTTCAAATAGCCAGGCACCGATGGCTCACGCTTGTAATCCTAGCTACTCAGGGGGCTGAAATGTGAGGATCATGGTTCAAAGCCAGCCTAGGCAGGATCATCCATGAAACTCTGATCTCCAATAAATCACCAGAAAACCGGAAGTGGCGCTGTGGCTCAAGTGGTAGAGTGCTCGCCTAGAGCTGAAGAGCTCCCAGGCCCAGAGTTCAAGCCCTACAACCAACCAACCCCCTCTCCCCCCCCCCGCCAAAAAAATAATTTTAAATAAAGACAAATTTCTTATTTATTTTCTTCTTAGTCTCTCCACACCAAATCCTCCCCCCCCCCCCAATAGCACTTGCAGGTTTCAGAGAGAGACACAGGGCACTTGCCTCCAGTCTGCTAGCTGCTGGCTGCTACCCATGGCTTCTGGAATCACTGTGGGCTGGACAGAATTGTGCAGTGCCACCCCAGGCAACTGTTGCCACGTTGAAGGCAGGAGGATTTGCTGTGTTCCTCCAGGCCAAGCTTGCTGCAACAAAACACACACACACAAACCCAGACTTGATTCACAGTTGACGTTTTCTTCTGCTTTTAAGATGAAAGAAAATATCTTTTATAAAAAAGTTGCTTGTAGATTGTTAACTTGCAGAGACAAAGAAAGGTCAGAGGAGCGCATGGCTGTAAGTGTTACAAGAAGGTAGAGCATACTACTTGCTCTTAGCTATTTCCATAACCTGAGCATCAGCACACTACAAGAAACAAAGGTCCTTAACAGGTAAGAGTTTCTATTAAACTGTAAAGAGAAAATTCAGAGGCAAACTCTAGTTAAACACTGGAGTTTATCTTTGTAAAACTGTAAAATACAGCCCTAGAAATTTAAGAAAACATACCTGCTATTAAAAAAGAAAAATGCTAATATTTGAGCGCCAATCATATAAGACAGCAGGTCAATCACACCCATAAAACATAAGGTGCAACTCTTCCCTTGTTTAAAAGGGTAGAAAACGGAGCCAAGATGACCAAAAGCAAAGCCCTTTGGCAAACAGTTTTGTGCCAGCTAAAGAAAGCTAACACAGGGGCTGGGAAGGTGGCTCAGTGGTAGAGCGCTTGCCTTGCATGCATGAGGCCCTGAGTTCGATTCCTCAGCACCACATAAGCAGAAAAAAAAAAGCCGGAAGTGGCGCTGTTGGCTCAAGTGGTAGAGCGTTAGCCTTGAGCTGAAGAGCTGAGGGACAGCGCCCCAGACCAGAATTCAGGCCCACGACCGGACCCCCTCCCCCCCAAAAAAAAAGAAAAAAGAAAAAGAAAGCTAACACCAACATTTACAGACCTATGACAGAATGAAAAATTGAGGCAACCAGCTAAGTATTTAAAAAATAGAGGCAGAAAGCATATTATTTTTAACAGTTATGTAAAACTGTTTTATGTATCCTTTCTGGAAACATACTTTCATATAAAAACTAATCACTATAAGAAAATACATCACGGGGTTGGGAAGATGGCTCAGTGGTAGAGCGCTTGCCTTGCATGCCTCTGAGGCCCTGGGTTCGATTCTTCAGCACCACATAAGCAAAAAGAAAAAAGACGGAAATGGCGCTGTGGCTCAAGTGGTAGAGCATTAGCCTTGAGCTGAAGAGCTAAGGGACAGTGCCCAAGCCCAGAGTTCAGGCCCCACGACTGGACCCCCCCGCCCCCAAGCAATGCCACTTCTAAAGACAGAGCAACAGCCAGGTACTGGTGGCTTAGGCCAGTAATCCTAACTACTCAGGAGGGCTGAGATCTAAAGATTGTGGTTTGAAGCCAGCCTATGCAGGAAAGTCCATGAGACTCTTATCTCCAATTAACCAACAAAAAGCTGGAAGTAGAGCTGTGGCTCAAGTGGTAGAGCATGCTAGCCTTGAGCGAAAAACCCTGCACCAAAAAAAACAAAGAAACAAACAAAAAAAAAACTGGGCTGGGAATGTGGCTTAGTGGTAGAGTGTTTGCCTAGCATGCATGAAGCCCTGGGTTTGATTCCTTAGTACCACATAAACAGAAAACGCTGGAGATGGCGCTATGGCTCATGTGGTAGAGTGCTATCCTTGAGCAAAAAAAGCTTTAGGACAGTGCCCAGGACTCGAGTTCAAGCCCCAGGATTGGCCAAAAAAAAAAAAGACAAAGCAATAAATACTTTTTTTAATACTTCTTACAGAAATTGTGGTGTTTTCTGGGAAAAAAAAAAGAAGGCACATTTTCTTTTTAAACTTGAATCCGGCAGTGTAACTGCCCACAATACTTGAGCACATATGGTTGTTTCATAGATTTCAAACAGCAAGGCCATCAACACACTCTTAAAAATATTTCTGCAAGTAACAGATCCACTTGTAACAAGTACTGGTTCCAAACAAGAAGCCTTCCAAGCAGAGAAACTGCAAACAGGTCTGTTACCATATGCAGAATTTAAAACAAAACAAAACAAAACAGAAAATAAGAGAGGTATGTTAAGTCACACCATGCGTCTTTCCATAAGCCAACACCTGCACAAGACAAAGCATGTAGTTTAATACAAAGCAAGAAATAACATTCCCACGTGAGGCAGAAATCTGGCGTTCCAAGCGACGAACTGCTTTGACAGAGGAAGAACAAAAATATGCAAAGCTCAGCAAATGGCTAGTGCAAACTTAAGAAAAACAGCAAAGGAAAGGTGTCAACTAACATCTCAAACCTCAAAATTATAGATAAGCAAGGAGAAACCAGTGGCTTGGATAAAACAAGATGGATTCTCTCTGACTCCCAGCCCTCAAAATTAATGCTCATGAGGAAATTCACGTGGAGGTGGCGTAGACTTTCAAACTAAATACTAAGCAAGTGTTTTCCACTCACAAGTATTTCAGACATAACTAAAGTCCAAAACTATTTTCTGAAGGATTCAATAATATTCATCAGGTTTTCAAATGTTTATTTAATTTTAAATCTCAAATAATGAAATGTTAAAATATGCAATAAACAATTCTAAGTCCCCTAAATAAAACACATCCAAAACTCACTCTGAAGCTTACAACTGCTGAGATATACCTCAAAGTCCTGTTCATTTGTTTTTTCTTTCTCCAAGTCTGATGCTACTACAACTGTAGTGCTACTCAACGACTTCTCCCAGAAAATTTCAGTAGAAGAGACTGCATTGGCTCTTCATATTAGTTCTATAAATCCAAAGAATTGAGTTCTCCTTTAATGTTCATTAGCAACTTGAACTATATCCTAAAGGGAACAACTTTTCATGGGAGACAGAAGTTGCCACTGATTATGAGTGCCAAAAAGACCTATCTTCATGTGTTTACAGAAGGAAGATAGATGTTAACCAATAAAGAATTAAGAACATCTTAAAATTTCCACATGCACAGCGTTTTAGAAGCTTAAAACAATGGGAAAATTAAAAAGCTAACTTGACAAGGAGTTCAGTTTTTGGACATCTGGGCTGTTTGCCAGTCAAACTAAGGCCATTTCCTTCCTTCTGAAGGACCATAGAGGGTATAAGAGGGCAGAAAATGGGGAACAGTGTTGAGGCTCTTCTGAGGCTAAATCAAGAGCTTCACCACTCTGGCTGGCAAAGAAGAATCAAGGGGTCTGGCTCCTGACAGAGCCAAACTGAACACCAACCGGTGCTTCAGCCAACGTTGGGGAGGAGCAGTGTGACACTGAAGATGCAGCAAGAACACAGCCACAAGATGGCTCATGCTTCCATGCCCTCTGCAAGACTAAGCTACTTTTTTTAAAATGAGAAAACCAGAAGAACAGAACAATAACGAACAGGAAAAATTTAAAAAGAAAGAAAACAAAGAAACCCCGTTAGTAACACAGTCAAGTGAGGGAATTACCAGTACAGCAGTGGTCTGTTCAACCAGCGCCGGCCGGCCGGCTGTGCAGCTCAGGGTAAAGGGCACCGCATACTGCGGTGCGATGGTGGCTACTTGAGGGTGGAGAGTTGCTACCATTAGTGGTGTACAGCTTCCCTGAAATGTAGATTAGGCAGGTGAGTGAGACAAACACTGAGGCAGGTCATGTGGATTCAGAAGGGTCCTCAGACCCCATGTTATTACCATCAAAGTTAATTCAAATCACCTAAGATGTACAAACCTCTTCCCCCTCACTCTGCACAGCTTGAGTTCACTAGGTCAAACATCCATGGCCTAAAGCAAAGAGTACAGAATCTTTCTTGGGCCAGACCCAGAGAATCTGTTCTGGGACAGAACTCATAAAATAAGATTTTTGTATTTCTTGTATGTTTCTGGGCCACAAACATTTACATATAGAATTTATAATGTATACTTGCTATTATAAATCTTGCATGGTTTTTCTCTATTGTCTTAGTTTCTCAATCATCTGGCAAGTGTGACAGCGTAAAGCTTATTACAGCCTAGTTCAACGTAAGGAATGAAGAAATGGTGACTTCCTGATGTGACTTAGCCTCTCCACTGAAAGCAAAACAGACAATGAGGGGCAGTAGTGGAGCCTTGCTTTTAGAACAAAAAGTGCTGCATGTATACTGTATCTTTAAGATATCTAGAGGTAGAGGACCTGATCCCATAAAGTTAAGAGTAAACTTAGTCAGATGACCCTTTCTCAGCATCTGGATATTATGTATCCTTGTCAATCTGAGGGAGACACAGGGAGTTGTAGTAATGAAGCAATGAGTATATTGTTACATTGTAATGTTGCATTTTAAGACCACTGAGTCAGAACCAAGAAAGATTTTATAGTCAAAGCAAATACCATATTCTAAAACAAAGTGTCTGTTTTCCAAGTGCTTCAGCAATACCATTCTGGCTTTTACCTGGGTGAGCACTCCTGACTGGATCTGCAGTGGCTGAGCAGCTGGCGCCTGGGGTACAATTGGCACAGCATTATCCATCCTCACAGGGAATCCAGAATGTTTTGTTGTTGCTTGTAGCCCAGCTGGCGGGGAAAAAAAAACATCATTGGTAAACTGCTTTGCTGGGTTTGAGGATCATTTTGTTTTTTGTTTTCAGCCTTTTTTACTGCTCAGGTTTTAGTTTCAGACACTCCAGACAAAGGAGCTTCAGTCAGAAGTCTTAAAAGTTAAGAAAAGGTAACTTGGTTCCCATCAGTTAGCCAAATGCAAAGACATCTGACACAGGGAGGGCTGACTGAAGGGAATTCTCAGTTTTGTGTGTGTCTGTGAGTATGGGTGTGCACACTCGTGCGTACACCAGTCTTGGGGCTTAAACCCAGGGCATGGGCGCTGAGCCTGTGCTTCTTTTGCTCCAGGCTAGTACTCAACCACTTGAGACACAGCTCCACTGGCTTTCATCTTGGTAGCTGAGTGGTGATAAGTACCTCACAGACTTTCCTGCCTGGACTGGCTTTGAACCATGATCCTCAGAGCTCAGCTTCCTAAGTAGCTAGGATTAGAAGGCGTGAACCACCAGTGCCCAGAAGGAATTTTCATTTTAATGTTACACAATTTAAAACACAATAACCATCCCATCTATCAGATCTAATGATCTATCTACCTATCTATCTATCTATCTATCTATCTATCTATCTATCTATCTATCTATCTATCTATCTATCTATCTATCTATCCCTTCAAGTAGTATGATATTTACCTTTTAGTTCATTGGGGAGTAGTGCCTAAGTGCTTTTTCAAACTGTCATCTACTAAAAATAGACTTGAACATAATTATAACTTTATTTATTTGCTTGTTTATTTTGTCAGTCGTGGGGCCTTAACTCTGGGCCTGGGCACTGTCCTCAGTTCTTCAGCTCAAGGCTAGCACTCTACCACTTGAGCCACAGTGCTACCTCCAGCTGAGGAATCAAACCCAGGGCCTCATGCATGCAAAGCAAGCACTCTACCACTGAGCCACCTTCCCAGCCCCATAACTTTAAAATTAGACAGTTGAATTTGCAATCTAAATTACCTTTTTGTTCAGATTTGGGGGGGGGGGGTTGTGGGGTTTAAACTCAGGGGCTGGGCACTGTCCCTGAGCTTCTTTGTGTTCAAGGCTAGCATTCTATCACTTGAGCCACAGCATCACTTCTTGGTTTTGAGTAGTTTATTGGCAATAAGAGTTATCACAGGGACTTTTCTGCCCAGGCTGGCTTTAAACTTCTATCCTCAGATCTCAGCCTCCTCAGTAGCTAGGAATATAGGTGTGAGCCACCAGCACCCAGCTATTGAGAATATTTTAAAGGATATTTTGTCTCCTCAAAAAACTTCAACCAAGTTCAAATGTTAGTCATACTACCTTTAACCCGCAGAAAATGAAAGATAAATATACTTTTTGGGTCATGGAAATCTGCTTTTGTCAGTGGTGGCTTTCTGATATAGTTCTCTTATGGTTAAAGAGCAGCTAAGAACATGGAAAAAGTCTTCGCTGTCTTTGAAAACAGTGACCATATTTTATTTATATTTTTAATTTGCTGTGCTCCTGGGATAAATGCTGAATAAATTCCCATAAGATAGAGGTATCTATTATAAATTCTTACAAATAGGAACCTCAAACTAGGAAAAGGGGGTTCAGCATAGGTCTTGTATTTACTTATGTATTGTGCCAGTCCTGAGGCTTGAACTCAGGGCCTAGGTGCTATCCCTGAGCCCTTTAGCTCAAGGCTAGTACTCTACCACTTGAGCCATGGCTGTACTTCTGGCTTTTTGCTGGTTAATTGGAGTCTCGCACACTTTCCTGGCTGTGTTAGCTTTGAACCGTGATCCTCAGATCTCAGCCTCTTGAGTAGCTAGGAATATAGGCATGAGCCACCATGGCTCACTCAACCAGCTCTTTGTTTTTATCAAGACTTAAAAAAAAGAGGGTCTTTAAAAAAAAGGGGGGGCCTTTGAAGTTTTCTCCTATACCTACCCTTTCAAAACTTTCAATTTGGAGAATTTAAGTTTCTGTTTCTTCTAATCCTCTTTAATTTCGCTAACACATTTTATGTAGTGAAGAGGCAAACATTTTATTCAGAAGACTGCATCAGTGACATTTTCTAAGCTCTCATCAATTTCTTTTCTCTCTTTCTCTCTATCTGACAAGGTTCACTATGTACTCAGACTAGCTTCCCGAGTACCACAATTACAGGCAGGCACTATCACATCCAGCTTACTTTCTCTTACTATTACTATAGAGGTATCAAAGGAGTATAATGTATAAACCAAATGTGTAACGTATAAACTTGCTTTTTTCAGCAAGCTAGTTTCCCAATTTCGCACATCAGTATTTTGTGAGTAATTTAACAATAAATTGTAAAGTCTGGATAAGGGAGCTGGGAAGGTGGCTCAGTGGTAGAGTGCTTGCCTTGCATGCATGAGGCCCACCTGGGTTCAATTCCTCAGCACCACATAAACAGAAAAAGCCGGAAGTGGTGCTGTGGCTCAAGTGGTAAAGTGCTCACCTTGAGCGGAAGAGCTGAGGGACATCGCCCAGGCCCAGAGTTTAAGCCCGATGGCGGGGGTGGGGGTGGGGGGGGTGCGTGAATCTGGATAAGATGTAAAGGTTGCCAGCCATGCTGACCTAAGCAATGCAACCCAAAATCTTGTGTGCATTCCTAGGACACAGGGACAGTATCCTGACCTCAAGAGGTCATTGTACAAGCCTCCTACAAATGGAGAAGGTCAGGAGGCAATGTTGGCTAGAAAAGCAAATTTATGACTCCCAGAGTGACAAAAGTGAAAGGGGACAAATATACAAGAATAGCTGCCACTCTACAAAATGTATGTCTATTTTGGTCAACTGGAATTAGTATGACCTATAAAGGAGACTACAGTTATGTAGGCTAAGCCACAGGCACAGAGCTAGGTTAAACTAGGCCTTTTTCCACCATAGCTGGAAACAAAGAATAACAGTACTTTGGGAAGGCTCTCCCAGAAGGCTGAGCTGTTTTACTGATATCCTTTAAGCCACTTGGTGAGGCCTAAGGAGGATTGTGTCCTCCTGTGCCAGCATCTGTAGAGGAAGAGGAGGAAAGGAAAGTGGCAACTCAGAAGACATCAGCACTTGGTGGGGCTGGCAAGATACTGACAGCTCCTTACAGTATGGAATAACACTGCAAGTGACCCATGGTGAGCCCTAGTGCGGGGAGAGGTGCTAATCATTGTCTTGAGTAAATCGTCAAATTACTTTAAGCACAGGAGGATTTTGTCCTTTAGGAACTGGGGATAATAGTTGTTTGTAAGAATAAGTTAATACATATGAAAGTACTTAAAACACTATTTGGCAAATACCTGATATTATCAGGTATCATCACAACCACTGTCATGTCAAACCTCCCTTTTGTTTGAAAAAAATTATTTTTTTCCCTTTGATGCTAGGACTTAAACTCCACTTCCCACTTTTTGGTGGTTACCTGGAGATGAGTCTCAAGGACTTGTCCACCTGGGCTAGCTTCAAACTGAAATCCTCAGATCTCAGCCTACTGAGTTGCTAGTATTACAGGCAAGCCACCAGTGCTTAGAGGAGCTCTACTAGCTCCTCAGAGGTTATTTATACTTCTAGACGGGGAGGGGGGCGGTAGTAGGACCTTTCCAAAGTTTATACTTACCTAGTTCTTATCAAAAGGGACTATCCCATGCTCCCCCTACCTGTTTATTTTGGTTTACTAAGGGAAAATATCAGGGTCCCACATCTGAAAACTATTCCAATGTAATTCACTTTGGAAAAGGTAGGGAAGGCTAATTTTCTAAATTCAGTGGAAGAATCCTTCCATATCTGATGACCCAACGCATAGAGTTTTACTACTATAAAGCATACATTAAAGGTAATTTGGTAAGCGAAGCTAAGTTTGCATTTACGGATTTTGAATCTGCTCCTCCGCTCGCCCTGTGGTCTCTCCCTGGTTTACATGGCTACCGCTCTCCTGGCCTCCCGGTAATCTCTCAGTCTCCCCCAGACCCTCACTTCCTTCTGCTTGCTCCGACTCTGTCAGAAACCAAACAAACAAGAGAGTCACAATCAACAAGTAACTGAAGTAAAAAGATAAAAATGCTACCTACTTCGATGAAAGGTATATATAAAAAGCCTGAAATCCAATTTATTCCCATTGAGATTGACCTTTTATTCTTTTCCTTATTTATTTATATTTTTTAAAGGATCAGGGCCTTGCTGTATAGCTCAGACTGGCCTCCAGCCTGTCTCCCAAGGGCTGGGATAACAGGTTTGAGCACCAGGCCTTGTATTAACGTTCACAAAGTGTCATCAGAAAATATCTACAAAGTAATTTAACCTTCCTGTATTTCAGAAAAAAAAAAACTAAACAGACTGAATTACAGAACAATAATAATAAAATGAGAATGTAAAATTACTACCGAATGAAACACATTGGGTCATACCCTCTTTCTTCAGCTATTTTCTTCCTCTGTTGATAAGAGTTTATAGGAACAATATGATTTGTGAGCTGAAGCAGATATTCCTAAAGTCTATCCCACATAAGCACTCCAGCCTGTAGAACTTTCCAGATCACTATGTCATGATCTTTCTTATTGAAAGTAACTTAAAAGATTGCTACATTCTTCAGCGTGACTTTTACATTTTAGAATAAATTTTTAAATGGGGCATAATTTTATCTTAAAAGATAATGATAGGAAATTCGATTCAATATTTAACAATTCTACTTATAACCATTTTTTCCCCTATTACTAGGGACTGAATTCAGGTCCTTACACTTGCCAGACAAGTCCTCTTCTATGTGAGCCATGCCTCTATCCCCATTTGGCACTGGTTATTCTTGAGGTAGGGTCTTACTTTATGCCAGGGTAGGCCTGGATTGTGATCCTCCTTCTCGTACATCCCCATGTCACTGGGGATGGTAGGGCACAACAACGCACCCAGACATTTTTCTTCCTTTGTACCTGGAATCATTGGTATGCACCATCATGTCCAGATATTAGCTGAGTTGGAGTATCAATAATGTATATGAGCTGGGCACTGTGGTATACACCTGTAATCCTAGCTACCTGAGGAAAAGTCTGTGAGACGATCTCCAATTAGCCACCAGAAAACTGGAAGTAGCAATGTGGCTCAAAATGGTAAAATGCTACAGCCTTGAGCAAAAAAGCTCAGGGACAGTGCCTAGACCCTGAGGTCAAGCACCAGGACCAACAAACAAGCAAAGAACTTATAGGATACAGCTGGCCTTGAACTGTGATCTCCCAAGTAGCTAGGATTACAGGCTTTGAACCACAAGGCCTAGCATACAACCAATTTTTTAAGATGTATATATATTCTATATACTGAGATAGATATACATGTTTAATTCAAGGTTTGTATTAACAGAAGGCCTCAATGTATAGAAAGAAAGAAAAGGAAGGAAGGAAGGAAGGAAAGAAAAAAAAGAGAGACATAGAGAAAGAAAGAAAGAAAGAAAGAGAGAGAGAGAGAAAGAAAGAAAGAAAGGAAAGGAAAGAAAAAGAAAAACAAAAACCTGGTAACTGGTAATTCAGGTAAGGGAAGAGACACTGAGTTTCTATAGCAATCATAGAGAAATTACCAGTGTAAAAAGGAAAAATCTACTTTGTGATTATCACACAGTTCCAGTTACTATAAACATCAGAGGCAGAGTTTAACTGGTCAGAGACCAAAACTAAACCACTAGATCTGCCTAGAACAGTAGGCCCAATGTCATATTACATAATACAAGAGTCTCACTACTTACTTTGAAAAGCAGGTGGACATACTATAAAGGTTTGCTGGAATGGATCTGTCTGAGTGCAAATTTGGGTGGTTCCGGGCTGCAAGGACACACCCTGCTGGGCAACTCCAGGGACCGGAGCAGCAGAAGACGGATACAAAGCTGACTGGTAGTTTAGCAATGAGACATCTGAATTAGCCAGAGAAAGAGTAGCAGCTGCTGCAGTAGAACTGGAAGCTAAAACAGTGGCCTAAAAACAAAAGGATGGTATTTTCACACAGCCAGAGATAAGACAATATCTTTACATATACAGAATCTACCCAGAAAAAATTAGGACAAGGTTTAAAAATGTAACAGTAACTATCTGAAATACCTCTCCACTTAGAACTTTTCCTAATCCATAAATGTAAGGCATACTATAAAGTCAAATAAGCAAAAAGTAACAAATGGCTATTCTTTTGTTACTGTACTAGTGGTAGTTATCTATGATTTCTGCACAATAAACTGCTGGATAGAACAATATGATTTTTTTGGGGGGGGGATTCGGTAGTAGGGCCTGAACTCTGGGCCTCAGCTCTTCAGCTCAAGGCTAGCGCTCTACCACTTGAGCCACAGCACCACTTCCGGCTTTTTTCTTTTTGCTTATGTGGTGCTGAGGAATCGAAC